CACTTCAAGGGCTTAAACTCCTTTTCTTGACCAGTATTGGCAATATTTCTTTTTTTATATAATAATAATTTTTTTTATAAATGTCTAGCTCATTATACATAAAACACCGTGCCATAGTACATTTTACACAAAAAAAAATCTATATATTCGTGAAACCATGGGCCAAATATAGTAAAGTTGCATTTTTAATTTTTCACTCTGACGTCATTAATTCGAAAATGTACTAAAGATTCAGTGAAATGTGCTTTGAGAGAAAGTATGGGTACAATTTCTGTAGAATTTAAACCAATTAAATTTTTGGTGCATAAGAACTGGTATTTAATTATTAAAAATGTCCGTTTAAAATGTTATACTTGAAATTTCGCAACATTTGTTTTTGAAAAAATTATATGTTAAGGACTTAAATGAACTCGATAACATCCTCGAATTTCGTCCTTCTAATTTTATCAGCATAAAAAATGACCTAACCCAAAAAGTTTAATTTTTTTTAATTCTAAAGAAATTTCCTCTTGCATTTGGTACCCATATTTTTATTCTACATTGCATTGGATGTTTTAAATAATTTTTTGAATTAAACCCTTTAAATAAAAATGTAGGTTTCCAAAAAGTAATGAATGTCTAAATTCCGGTACTAATCCCGTGATCGTAAAAAGCGAAAAAAATTAACATCCCTAATGAATACCAAAGGCAAATTTATTGCAGACAGAGGAAATCGCGAAGTTGAAGCATTTCCATGTTGCGAAAGCTACAAACATTAATTTTAATGACAACTTCCAGACCGCAGACAATGTCACGCATTTGCTGGACAAAGTTAAGTTAAATAGCCTAATAAAATGGCTTCATGCTTACATATATAAATCGTCATTTAAAGTAGAAAACCGTGTATCGTGGTTCTGGAGTAAAATGCGCTACACCTTCAGTAAACACAAAAATATTGTATAAAATCAGCGATAAGTCATAGCAGCTTCAAACTTGCATTTTATTTTACAAAAATTTTGTGAGCAACAAAACTATAATTTTTTATTTTTTTGGATGCAAAGTTTGAAATTTTGATAAGTATTTGATGAATTTCGTCAAATTTTTATGCATTTTGTTGCACAAAGACAAAAATATGAGTTACTTTTTTTATATTTAATGAGTTATACTTTTATAAAAAAATAATAAGCATTAAACGAACATAAGAACAATAGTCTGAACTTGCTAAAATGTCCATCCCTATTACTGTGTCCACCACCATATGTTAGAGTACTTTCGATATATGTATAATGTGGAAATTGATTGTCTTCAACTTTAGCAGAATATCTATCGGTTGCTTTATGAAGGCATGTTTCACTTATATTTTACAAAAGAGAGATATTTCGCAGCTGTTACCGCATCACAACTTCGCTGAGTTAACGAAAAACCTTCATCAATTTTCTTTCTTTCCTCTTAGCCCTTTTCACTTATGTATAGTGGCTTAATTTAAAGTGTTGCTCGACGGAACAATTCAAGTAATTTCAGAAAGTGAGTCAAACTCAATAATTTCGAAAATTAATGCAGCAGCATGTAAATTGACTTTCGATTTTTTTTTTCAATATCCCCGTTTCTGATTTTATTTGGCATTACTTTTAACTCACCGTAGTCTATTGGTTAAACACCACATGCAGCAAAAATTAAAATTGCTAGTGCAGCACGAGTAAATTGCAAATGTTTTTCAAAAGCGATTTTCGTTCCTTCAGTTGTTCACAGTGTAAAAGTGTAAGTTTTATATCGGAAACTAATTTTGAAAATTGGCAAAAATTATTTTACAGGGACTCTCGCTTTCGCCGTCTGACAGAAAAATGCACTTGCTTCGCCACGTCTAACTGCACTTCAACGTAATATAGAAAAAAGGAATCACCATTCGGTACGGTATACCGTTCGAGATTTATACATATGACAGTATTTAATAAAAAAGCTTGAAAAGAAAGCGATACATAAGTATGTAAGTACATATGTACGGCTGTGTAATATGCATAAATAGATGTGAGTAAAAACTAAATAGTAGGGCTTGTTTTTTTTTCGATTAAAATAAATGGTTCTATGAGAAGCCATGAAAATATTGCACACATTTGCAAATAAATAAACCTTTTCTCTAAACGAGTGGGAAAATTCATATCTATTTGCGAATGCAAATTATTGATATTAGTGCCATTCGATGGCAAGCAAATATTTGCCTTTTTTTAGGCTTATCAAAACCAATGTATGCCAATATGTAATGTATTTACAAACACGTCATATAATAAAACCATAAATGAAAAAATGCTTCCACATAAATATGTATGTTTGTACATTAAGGGTGCCCTTATTTTTACAAATCAAAATTTCAACAGGCGTCGCCCGGATATTTGTTTCTTTTCATCTGAAAGACTTACAGTAAAAGTTTGGGGTCGATAGGATAACGCTTGACAGAAGCGAAAATGAATTAAAAAAGGAAATATGTGTTCTGCTTCAAAAGTTAAGTAATTTTATTATTGATATCGATGTAATATTATATATTTGTATTTGTATTATTTATACTATTTTATTTACAGAACTTCATAAATTCATATTAAAGACTTATGTTGGATTAAATAAAGCTCTTTACAAGTATGAAATATGTATTTATTTTAGCTCTGAAAAATACATAGATGCACAAATTATTTAGATTCTTAAACTAAATCTGATTTCTTGTATGAACAGTATCTCTTTCGATCGGCTTCAAGAACCTGAAGCTACGCGCGGATGGTTCGATTAAAGAAAAAAAAACGCAAAAAAAACTATAAAGCATGAAATTGATCAAAACATGAGCGTAAAAAGGCATGTATTTTTTAGGCAGTTATTGTTCCATCCAAAAAGGTCTCAAGGTTGCATAGAAAATGCTGTCATGGCTGTGTTTTTTACGTTGCTAGTAATTTTGTGCTTTGTTTTGCTTTTATTTTCTTTGCTTAGCTTGTCCTATTTAACATAAAGTGCACTTCATCATTTTCACGTAGTGACAACTGCAGAAAGCAGCGTCGTAACTCTTCTGTGTTAGGGAAACTAGAAAGCCACGAATGACAGTCGGCAATGAGGGAAACTGTTAGCAATCTAATCAACTTAAAATGCAGCTGACAGCTTAACTTAAAGTTTTAGTATGTATGTAAATTAAGCTTTTAATTACCCAGTCGTCAAAATTGGTAGCGATAAACGCTTTCAGGAAGGGCTTTTTTTAAAATGTTTACATAAAAAAGGAGTAAAGATTAGAGCAATTAAAAGAGCAGAAGGCCCAATTCTTTGTTATTTTAACGAATGGGTACTCGCTTGATGCAATCGGTATCATTTTTTATCACGTTATTCTATTTATAATACCAGGCGAGCTGCTGTAAATAATCACAACGCGTTAGAGCCGTCGTCCTTCAGGGTGATCACCCACTGGGTAGGAGACCTACCCCTTACCTGGCCGAATACCTAGCTTTGCCAAAATTCTAAGGTGATTTCCCTTTGGTTGATGTCTTTTTCGATATGCTGATACTACAGCTGGTGTAGTATGAACGCAACATATCCGCCACTGTCTCGCTTGCGGCCCCCACAGAACACAATGTAGCTGGTGCAGCTCAGCAAAGTTGAGTTGCTGTGCTACTTGATTTCTTGCAACATGCAGAATTGGCTGAATATTAGCGGGCACCTCTAGTAAATCACTCATAGCTATATATAGCATGTAATTCAGTATTTAAATCGTCATTATAATGCAGATCTGTAAACACTTTCTTGATAATTTTAAAAAGTTGTTTGCTTCTATTCTAAAGATTGAAATTGATCAAATCATTAGGGCAGTTTTCATTTATGATGACGATATGTAAGTATGTAGTTATAGTATGTATAATTAGGAACCTGTAATATATATAAAAAAGTACTGATTATACTGTTTCTAACTAAAAGTTTCTAAATAATTAGAGGGTTCAGAAGACTTGTTAATCGTCGTAGAATCTTGAAATTTTTTAGAGGATTTTTTTACCACACCAAAATGTTTTTAAACTGATCAAAATATATATCAAGCGCCCCCTAAAACCATTTTAACCATTATTTTACATAAAAAAAAGTTAAGCTTAACATTTTACGGTGGTTAACACGTCTTCTGAATCCCCTAAATCAAGCTGCAGTTTACATATAGAGAAAAAAATTAGAAAACCAAAAACCAAAACTGACGGTGATTGGAAGAACAATTTAAAATTGAAACACACAAAGCCTCCGAAGAGTGGAGTTGTCAATTTTATAACCGACAGCATAAATTTGCATATTGTATAAAAAAAAAAAAATTTTTTTAATTATTTGGCATACATACATCTTTATTTTATAGCATTCATCATTAAAACTAATAAACAATTGGGAAGCTTATTTCTATGTGCATAAAGAATAGAAATTAGTGCTATTAGTAGTTACATGTTTTATGAGAAATATTGACTATAATAAGCGTCAGAAGAATTCAAATCTTAAAAACTCGAGGGTTATAAATAAAAAACTGGTAACTAAGCGGCAGTCGAATATTTCGATTTTCCAATAACATAATTCCGACCTACAATATAAGTTAATTCATAAGCACATAGCAGGCTATTTGTAAACAAAAACTTGATAAGCATTCTTTTGACGCGCATTATACTTCATGTATTTTCAAATGTTTGTATGTATGTATGTATGAAAGTAATATTCGTTGAAGCTATTTATGCAGCTGAAAGTGCTTGTAGGCAATGTATGTATGTTTGTTATTTCGATGTATGTATTAAAAAAATAACTAATTACTAAAATAATATTGACCTAACCAATGCAATGCTTACCATTAAAATACTTTATTACACTGAAAAGAAGCTATGCATAAAAAGAAAAAAAAATAACAAAAATTTAATCAATTTCCATTTCTTTTGCAAAACCGCGTATACTCCTATACATCCAACAACATACACAACTGCCGCTAATGATGAATTTGCCAATGCCAACCAACTGTGCAACAAATTATTCAACAACAGCCAATCCCACCCTGTATGCACATTACGTTTTCAACACACTCGATCAGGATCACAGCGGCATTGTTAGCTTTGAGGTAAGTGGTAAAGCGCAAATGCATACTAAAATATGTATAAATACATCATGCATACTCGCATGTATGAACATTAGGGTGGTCCAAAGGAGAAAAATCGGAATTTTGAATGCTCTCACCGCCTACAACTGTTCTATATTGAAAAAATATGTACCACTATTTTTTATTTTGAAATCACAATATCCAATTGTTTATTTAAAAATTTTTTAATACTAACGAATTTTTGTTGGTCCCCCCATTGCATTTTCTAAGGTTTTTTTCCAACATGTAAAATATAGTTACTATGAAACAAACGTATACGTAAACAACTGGGTTTTATTATTGGGACTCTTCTGAAGAGAAACAGAGTTTTTCGGTCGAAAAAATTGATTTTCAAGAATTATATACCATTTCTATGAAAAGTTGTTTTTCCCCCGTATAAAATACATGGAAAATTTTGAGCAGTTTGAGCGACCTCCAACTACATAATTTTTATTTCAAAAGAAAAAATAGGGGTATAATCTTTCGGTATGGAAAAATGCTAGGCCGCAAAAGCATAAAAATTCCGACTTTACATTTTCACATACACTTTTGGACCACCCTAATTTACATAAGTGCATGCTCAAGGCAAAAGCTTTCAACTCTTTGATGGGGTACCACAGCAAACACACATCCCAAATTAATTGCTTTTGTAATCTTACAAGGGAAAAGCGGTTTTAGTTTTTGTTACACTCGTAGACTGCGCTAAGTTATACTCAATCTTTACCCTTTTCTCATTTTTAACTGCATATTTGTAAATATGTATCAGAAATTCCCTTTCAAAGTTAATTAAATTCATGCAACCCAAATGCAAAGGAGAGACCAATCGATTGCATAAATTAAATTCACAAAGAAATATTTGACGCAATTGTAAAAAGGGCATATCAACGCAAACGAATAACATTTTCCGTACGTTTTTTTTTTGTTTTTATTTAATTTGCCTTGTACGAAAATAAATTGCCTCATTACTATTAAAAATGTATGCGTATTTTGTATAAAAATTTAAATGTTTTATAACCAACTGCACGAGGTGGACTAAGCCTCGGACTTCAAAGTGAAAACAAACATGGAAAATTTAGGAAAACTTTACTTCTTGCATTCGCCTACATGACAAATAGCGATAAATTTTCTAAAAAAGAAACAAGTAATTAAAGTAGTTTTTTACCAAGCGTTTATTAGTTGCTCGGAAAAAGGAACTAAAAAATGAAAACTGAAATAAAACAGGCACATTATTTGTGGACTTATTTCTTTTCACTTAAGTAATACAACATGAACCAAATCGGCATATAAAGACGGGTTTTCCAAATATTTCGACTCTTGCGACACCTATCGGCAAAATTGTTTGTGGAGTTGTTGATTCCCATATAAGAAATATATTATGCTTTGGCCGAGTCCAAAACAGCACGCTAGTCTTTTCTCTTCCGTGCCAACTGACGCCAAGTCCTTTTACACCTGGTCATCCAACGCAAAGCAGGCCTTCCTCTTCGTCTGCTACCAGCATCGCGGCCCGCGTTGAATACTTTCATAGCTGGAGTATTTCTGTCCATTGGAACGACATGGCCAAGCCAGCCGAGCCGCTAAATTTTAATTCGCTGCACTATGTCTATAGCGTTGTAAAGCTAATACAGCTCATCGTTAAATTGTCTGTGCTCTTCGCCATCGCCAACGCATTAAGGTCCGGAAGTCTTTCGCAGAATCTTTCTCTAGCAAACTCCAAGATCTACCTCATCAGATGTTTGCATTGTCCCAGTGTGGTCGCCCAGGCACATCAAAAGGCATCTCTACGAACTGACGGACGAAGTTCAGAGGATCATTAAAACGTCTGGACCCGTCAGCATATCGACAGGCCCTGAGCGGCATTCACAGGGAGTTAGTCTCGAGTTATGTAGACTCCAGACCTGTGAATGCCGTTCTAGGCATGCAACCACCGGACATCGACGAACCGGAGCTTCATCTGTCTCGGGAGACTAGAACCACAATAGCCCAACTTTGCTCTGGCTACTGCAGCTGGTTAAACTCATACCTGAGCAGATTAAACGCAGATGTGCCAAATGAGTTTCCGGCATGCGGAGAGATACCCTATGATTCGAAACATCTCTTCGTATGCCCGGAAAACCCGACAACCCTAACGCCTTTGTCCCTGTTGGCCGACCCTATTGAGGCTGCACGCTTCTTAGGACTTCCGTTAGTGGAGCTTGACGACAACGACAAAGCGCGCGTTGCGTCCGATCGCAGCGCGGCCCTGTAGGCGGAATATTTTTGTTCTTTTGGGCTCTCTGAAATTCGGCGGCGGTACTTAATGAGGGGGAAATGTGAAATGTCGCGCATGCCGCTTTTTTGAAGAGTGCTCTCAGAGAGCAGGTGTGAGAGTTGAATTGTTTTATTCTGAGCTAGTTTAAAGGCTTGTTTAGTTCCTGCCGTATTATATTTTCCTTGGTTTTATGTCCGATGCTAATCTAAATCATTGCCAAGTACATAAAGTCGTCCTAACATTTTACGTTAAAATGATCCCGCACTGACTCATTTAAGCAGGTGTTTAATGCTGTTACGTGTTTCTTAATATCGCGTAACATTACAACCTTGCCTTTGAAGCTTTATACGCAAGAATAACAGGTATTATGTTTGTGTATACGTATTTATTAACTTCATCACAGTTCCCCTGCCTATACTCAGAATATAATAAACTCAGCTGAGGTAGATTTTCATGGCAGGAGCCTCTATATAATATACAGTTATGCTCAACAAATGTACTCATTACAAGCATACAAGTAGTCATACATTTATGCTCCCCATTAGCAAAGCAACGCGCTGCGGTGATTATTAGAGCGCAAAGGGCGCGTATCTCAACTTAAGGGGCTTCTAGACACCACAAATGTCTGCGTGTTGATAGTTTTATTTGCACTTTTTTGTTACTTCTTAGCTCTTATTAGGTTTTCCTTTAGCAATGTTTTTATATCGCTTCGACTACTTATCACATACATTTGTAAGAAAAAAAGCATAAGACCTTTTTTATTATAAAAATCTTCGCTTTAACAAAGCCTACTTAATGACGTTACGACATAAAACTTTTACAACAATTGTTATCGCCCACCAGAAGGCATATTTTCTGCCTTCAATTCTTTCGCTCGGTATTCTTATCTTTCTCTGCGCATTAAGTATTTTCATTTCACTCTGGTGTTGCCTTTCTAATGCTTTTGAAATTTAGTAAGCGGGTATTTTACACTTACTGATTTTCGATGTTTTCCATGTTTCAGTTATTTTCTTTTTCGTAAAGCTTTGCGCTTGTAATATGTATTTGATAAGTATTTATGTGCTATCTAAATACAAACATACATACTCACATATTTAGCGCACACGGCGTATGAGTTACCTAGTCTTAATAATACAGTGGACTACCGATAGCATGTAATTGCATGCGACTCGCGCACATGCGCTTCTCAATTGCCACATGTATAATAAAACTTTCTTAAGTTACAATTTGATGGCATTTCAAAGTATGTTCGGCCTAGTGTGATGCATTCTTCGGACAACTCAACAGAAGTTTTCGCGGACTTACAGCGGTGGTAACTGGCCGCTACAGTGGTTACGCACTACTTTTTCATCCAATAAATATATACCTTTTATTACAGTGGCGAAAATATCAATAGTGAATAGACATCTTACGACGTTTTGGCTATTTTTCTTTCTTTTAATTTACGTTTATTATTTTTTGAAAAACCGTATAATTCAAAATTTCACACTTTGTCCAAACATTAGAAAAATTCACCAAAGTTTCAACAAAATTTTGAACTTTTAAATTAGATTCCTTAGAAATATTCTGAGTATGGAATTTTATATCCCATTAAATTACGCAAAAGTGCAAACTTTAAGCAGCTAAGACTTACCGTTGATTTTTGAAAATTTGTTTTGTGGAAGGTTTCCCATACAAAAGAACTGTTGAACATACTTTCTATGGAAGAAAACCCGCGTACAAAAAATTTACACAAATCAACGGTAGTCCTAGCTAGTTCAAACTCGCACTTTTTTATACTAAATTGTCGACAAAACTGCATACAAAACTGCATGCATAAATTTAATTCTAAAATCTGTGTAAAAAGTTAAAGTTTTGGTCAAACCTTTTTAGAATTCGCCGAATTTTTATAAATTTTCTACAAAGTTTGAAATTTTAATTTACATGTTTTTTTTTACATCATAAGTTATATTTTCAAAAAAATTATACAAGTTTTTTAAACAAAGAAAATTAAATACATGCATACTTCCTAGTCTCCCCTCTGGCTGAGTTAATCACTAGTTAAGAATGATGGTTAGCATTACAGTGGCCAAAAATACTACTAAAAAGCGACTAGCTGATTATGAAAAGGCAATTATGCAGATTAATTGAAAAATATATTTCTGATCCAAATCGAAAGGGATCAAAACAAAATTAAAATTTGCAGTCATGGAACGCGTTTACAGCAGGGACTTTAACGGTTATGATTTTTACAATAAGAATCATTATTTAACCGTTAAAACTGGAATTTGATTCTTCCGATAAAATTTAAACCCTCTTTTTGGATTTTGAATTTTTCCTATAAATTTTTGATCGTTATTTTTTAATTTTTTTTTTATCATATTATAAACGTTATTTTCAGATTTAATTTTTCGTATCATAAAGGATTTTAATAGGTAATAAAAACACAGTCTTCATTACAACGGTTAAAAATGATTAAAAGAAATAAAAATTCAAAAAACCTGCGAAATCTAACAAGAGGAAACCATTGGAGAAATGCCCTATTTCTCATCTTTTGCCTGAGGAAGTAGCACAGAGCCACTAAAGCCCTCCTCTTCACCCTTTCCGCGATATAAGTATTTCACGACAGCTTCTAGAATAAAGCACAAGTACTTAACTTTAACAGATAGTGCTAGTCGAATGCCTCCGATTCAGAGTAGTCGCACGATAAGTTCCGTTTTATAACGATTTACAACGACATAACATTATGGCGCAAATCGCACAAATTGGAGGAGAAGCTCAGTTAAACACTTAGCAAAAGTTTAAACTCCAAAGTATAATTATTTTTAATAAAACATTATTACCATATAGTTTTTATTAACTCTACGTCCATCTGTGAGTCTTAAAATTCCCTATACTCCAATCTAAGGCCAACTAAAAGAATCTTTTTTTGTTAATTCAAAATATAAACAAACGTTTGAGGTAATGCTTTTTATAACCAAATTCCGATGTCCTCAGTTAATACAGCATTACAATGACAAAGGATACAACCAAAGTGTAATACATAAGTAAATAAAAGTTCGTCTCATAGCCGTAATCTTCCATCTTTGTGGCTTATTGGCCTATCAAATGATTACAACAGCTGCATGCTTGTTTACATAATCGTCATTTGCACTTACAACCGAGTACCTATTTACATCAATTTGTATTTAACCTACAATAACACCTAAAATATGCTTAGTCCTATTTTATTTCAATTTGTCTGTTTTGCGGTAATTTAATTCGGTATTTTCTAAACGATAAAAACAAATGACGCACTTCAAAATGCCGCCAAAGAAAACAAACATTTGCCAACAAGCCATGAAACAGCGAGTAATGCCAGAGATGTTAAAAAAGTTAAGTGCTGATAACGAATGGCAGACATTTGCTGTATGAAAAAACAGCAGCTGCGCGCACGCCACACCCCACACCCCACACCCCACAAAATACTAATTTTCGGCAGGTCTCACGGGCGGGATAAACGAAAAACTTTCAGCTGAATGCAAATAACGCGCTTTTTTATCCTTCTTATTTATATGCTTTGACAGTTATTTGGCGCTTATTCATTATGCGTTGGCTTTTGTTTTTCATATGCTTGCAGGATTTCGTTCAAGGACTTTCGATATTGTCGCGCGGCTCTGTAGAGGAGAAACTGCGTTGGACATTCTCGTTGTACGACATCAACGGCGATGGCTTCATAACGCGGGAGGAAATGACTGATATTGTGACTGCCATTTACGAGCTGATGGGACGCCTGCCGGACGAGTGTCCCGCGGAGGAGAAAATCAAATGCAAAGTCGACCACATATTTCAGGTAAGTGTGCAACAGCAACAGCGTTTGCGGCAGCAGTAAAACGAAAACGACTGACTGCCGGATTGTTTGCGAATCACAAAGCATAAAACGTAAACGAAATAAAAAGCTGAAGAAATCATTAAGCATTAAAGCAGTGGAAGGAGAAAGTTGGCTATCAGCTCTTAATGTTTTGAGGAAATGGCGAGCATGCGACTGACTCACTCGTTCACTCACTCAAATATCATCTGCGTGACGATCTGACATGGCCAATCTCAGTGTCCTTCCTTTTTTTATTGAGAGCGTGCTTGACGTTGACATTTGGGGGTTTTTGCATTTTATTTTATGCATTCTCGTTTCACGCTAATTGGCTTGAATTTCTCGCTTATTTATTATTTGCCATCCACAGCATCAAGTTGTGTCGTACATAAATTATTTACTTTGCTTGGGCGCTTTTAAATTGATGACTTGGGGGCTTAGTAAAATATGAAAGGTAATCTCGCTGCAAAATTCCAAAAAAATTAAAAGCCAAACCAAGGGAAACTTTTCAAATAGTATTAGTTAAGGAATTATGAAGAGATTAGATTGATTAGATTAGACTAGATTAGATACGAATAAATTATATTAGATTACATTGGATTAGATTAGATTAAATTA